AGGAGAAAAAAAATCTCTCTTTGCATTTAAGAGTAAAACTACTAATTTCATTGACAAACCATCTCACTTACCAACTGAAATTAAGGGGGAATACACTTAATTTAAGAAAGTTTTACTTATTTCAAGATCGTTTTTACAGTGCAGAGCATTCCTCACTACACTCCGCTCATATTTAATCAGGGGGTTCTGTCTTTAGGATGCACTAGTTTCTTTTTAAGGGTCTTGCTAGGACCTACAAATATTTACACACCTCCAGTACACTGCAAAACTTTTAAAGCTAAATAAGTAATTTTTTTTCCTTAAAATAAGTGATTTTGTTTTCTTATATTGAGGTCAGTGAGACACAGACACCGATGAAACAAGACAATCTACATTTAAAATGAGAAATAAAACATTTGCATTGTCTTATTCCAGTGTATATTATCCAATTAACTTATTAAAATGACTAATTCCATTGGCAAAGTATCATATTTACCTGCTCAAATTGATTTAAGACATTTTTTACTTATGTAGTGCAAGATGACCCAGCTTTAGGCAAAAAAAAAAAACAAACAAAAAGGAAGGAAGTAGAGAGAAAATAAGGAGAAAAAAAATCTCTCTTTGCATTTAAGAGTAAAAATACTAATTTTATTGACAAACCATCTCATTTACCTACTGAAATTAAGGTGGAATACACTTAATTTAAGAAAGTTTTACTTATTTCAAGATCGTTTTTACAGTGCAGAGCATTCCTCACTACACTCCGCTCATATTTGGTCAGGGGGTTTTGTCTTTAGGATGCACTAGTTTCTTTTTAAGGATCTTGCTAGGACCTACAAATATTTACACCTCCAGTACCCTGCAAAACCTTTAAAAAAATAAGTATTTATTTTTCTTAAAATAAGTGATTTTGTTTTCTTGAATTGAGGTCAGTGAGACACCAATGAAACAAGACAATCTACATTTAAAACGAGAAAAAAAAAACATTTGCATTGTCTTATTCCAGTGTATATTATCCAATTAACTTATTAAAATTACTAATTCCATTGGCAAAGTATCATATTTACCCGCTTAAATTGATTTAAGACATTTTTTACTTATTTAATTTCTGCAGAGCATGATCATCCAGGTTTAGGCAAAAAAATAAAAAACAAAAAGGAAGGAAGTAGAGAGAAAATAGGGAAAAAAGAAATCTCTCTTTGCATAGTCCTAGATTCAAGGTTGCACTGATCAACACAGAGAAAACAAAAAAGCTTTAAACAGACAGAACTGTTAAAAGGACTAATACAAGAAGGATAAATTAATTAGCAGAATTCTCAGCTTGTACTCCTTTATCCAAAGGTTACGGGGTAAAAAAAAAAAAAAAAAGAAAATGCTTGTGCTTCTGTCACCATGATGAAGCCAACCTTCTCTAAAGGAGCCATGTCTTATTTTTCTGCTGTTAAATGTGAATAATGCTGTGATGTTTCAGCAGGATCAGCACCTCCATGGTTCTCTACAGGGGCGGAGCTAGATGGGTGGCCACCCTTAGCCAATCACTGGCCACCCCTGTGGCAACCCCTACCATTTTTACCCTCTAATACAGAATTTGGCAGCAGTAATAGTCTCATTTTCATTTTTCATATATTACTATTTTTTCATGTATTCCTAATTTCTTGACAACAAAAAATACTGTGGTTAATTACACACATCAATATACTAATGTAACAGACTCGTTGGGCAGAATAAATGTTTCTGTAAAACAGGAGAATAAATGAGACAAGCGACGGGTGAAGTTTCACCAGGGCCGTTTCTCAATTCACGAGAACGCGAGCACGCAAGCACGTATGTGTATTGGAACAGAAGCGTACTCGTGACGTCATCACATGCAAC